GGAAGAGAGAGGGAGAGAGAGGGAGGGAGAGAGAGAGAGAGAGAGAGAGAGAGAGAGACGAGTACCCCACCCAAGACGGAAACCAAGAAAGGTGTAGGCTTCAGTCACTGGTTCATCTGAAAACAGAAGAAATAAACAACCTGTTTCGGCCAAGAACATGCATAGCTTTAAAAGCAAAGTACCTTACCAGGTTTACGTATCAATCACTTAAAATGAAAAAAGCTTAGATAAATCAGGTTTAGCCGTATGCAACTTTTCTTGGATATCTGAATAGCATAGGTCATCGTACTAGGTATTTAGGCCATGTAGCCTAACATCAGGGCAACATGATTTTCTTAATGTCAGCTGTGTTCCTTCTCTAGTTTAAAAGAAAAATAGACAACCATCTATCTCTTTGTCAGCCCGGCAAAAAGAAAAAAGAAAATAGGAATATCATATGTTATCCATATCCTAGAAGATGTGCATCGTGCACTCCTAAAAGCATGATATAATGCCCTCTGTATGATAACAACAAGAGAGACAAAGCAACTGCTAACTGCAATTCGTTCGCACATGAATCTAATCTGCACCATCAGCAACGGAAAAAACTATAATTGCTAGAGCAGTTTTAGATGTCAGAATTGTGCCAAATATGTATGTGTACGAGTTAGGCTGCAGTTGGGCTTGTAATTAGTGGAGGGTTACGTGTTTGAGTCAAACCATGAAATCCGGTCCAATTAGTCCTATTATTATATAAAAAAGCATCACGGGGTAGCAAAATAGACTAGACATAAGCTGATAGGCTAGACACAAGAGGGATGGTACAGACGCCCGAGGCAGGGGACTGGCTGTGATGGATGGTTGGAAATGTCATCTGATGGCCTTGACGGGCATGTAGTCATTGTAGTATGTTGATTTAGTACATGGGAACAAGCGCCCCTAGTCATACCCGGAGATGTAGCCGATGTTTGATGAACCTCGTTAACAAATATCGGTGTTCTTGCTCGTGCTTGTATGAATACTTGTTCCTCGGAAGATCAACTATGCGCGCCTCAGATGTTCACCATGAGTTTGGTTGCGAGGTTTTAGAGGTCCTCAGATCATGCCCTCAGATCAGCCTGAGCGCAAAGTACTCATTATACGGTCCAGCCAGCACAACGTGCACCTCCAGCCAGCAAATCTAACTCTCTTCCCACCGGGCCGTAAAAGCTTTAGGAAAAAAGTAGTAAAACAACTAAAGCTACGGCTAATGTCTAGGCAAATAATCAGTGGTAGAAATACCAGTTTTCCCAGTGCATGAAAACCACCTAATCAACCTATCCACTAACTTTTTGGTTCTACTAGTAACAAGCTTAGTTATGGTAGTAAAATGCTAGATTCTTTTACTATGCAATCTGGCATAAAACTTCATAGTAAAACGTTTTTTGTTTTGTAGCAAATACGGTAGACTCTTTATGACTAAATTTTGGGTTTAGATTTGATGGTACACTTACCGTCTAGTAGTAAAACTGATAATTTTTTTTACCACCCATTACTTGGGGGGAGTGGCAGTGCCAGGCGTTAACGCTATGGATTGTTATTTTTCATTTGCAAGATTTGTACATGTTGATTTTACAAAAAAAAAACCCTGGGTTAATCAGTTGACTACCCAGCTTGTATGTGGCTTCTCCACTTGGGGGGAGCACGTGATGGCATATAGACCGAAAAATGTAAAGCAAGTTTAAAATGTATTTAAGCAGTAACTGTGCACTCTCGAAAAGTATGGCCCAATTATTATTATCTAGTAGATCATGAATGTCTCAAATTTTACGTGTTCAAAAGACAACATACAGAAATTTTGAACAGCACCTCTTTAAACTAGTATAATCTTATGTGGTAAGGTGAATCTTGCGCATTTCACGGTAGCTTTCTCTACAAAATTGCATTTGATAAAAATCACATTTTTCTTTGAAGTGCATATGCTTGGGAATGGCAAAAGAGAACGAGATCTTCAAGCAGAAACATGTGGTATGCAGTTGTGTGACAGCACCGAGATAAGAGTGAATCAAGTTCACAAGTAGATACATACCTAAAGGAATGCATGTGACAACTCCTTCGAAATCAGCTCTAGAGACGTGCTCAAAGAAAAAGAGAGTTCGTGGAACCGGCAGGAAAGAGAAGCAGCCAGAGCGCTTCCGACGAGCCACAAAGTTGCCATGACTCCAGCAACACCCATCACCAAGTTGGCTGCTCCTGGTCACCTTACCAGGAGCAAGTTCATACTCATCGCCCTGATCAGCCAACCAAACATGGAAAAAGAAATTGGTACAGGTGGGAAGGTAAAACAAAGCAGAACAAAAATCATGGAGACAGAAATTGCTACTTGTAGCAAGGTAAAACAAAACAAAACAAACCTAAGAAGCATCAGTGACTGACTTAACTTAATTACTACCCCGTATCTCTATCTTTTACTAGTTGTTTAGGAAGAAATCAACCAGATCTACCACATACATTTGAGAATTTGACCCACACTTATCGCAATTATTGCTTAGCAAAATCTGTTTAAATAATAATTATATGAAAATATATTTCATGACAAACCCAGTAATACAATATCCAAATGTCAAACCCAAATAGTGATTACAAAAAGTTAAAAGTGTGAGGGAGTAACTAATGATTTTATCTAGAAAATTTCAGTGAATCTACTTCAAAGTGGCGAAAACAATGGGTCGAAGGCAGGTCATTAAATTAATCTGTGCATACGCCCAATTTGCAAGACCGATTAATAAGAAGGGACGTTGGGTAAGAAAGAACAAATCACCGGATGCAGAGCGTTGTACAGTTCGAGGCCTTTCAGCACAAGCTGGCGTTCGGCAGCTAAGCCTTCCAAATGCCTGTACGGATTAGATCTAGTATACGAAATTCAAACGGATCAATGAAATAAGAGTATGCAAGTACTGATCCGAAGTGTTGGGACTTGGGAGGCGAAAGCAATCCATCTAATCCTATTCCGCTGATGCGAAATTGAACTTGTGCGGATCCATGGAACACTAGATTAATAAACTGATTACCTGCAGCATTCTTCAAGACTCTCGTATTTTAGGTCGTCATCCGACTGCCACACGCACCAGGGGCGCTGGCGACGCACCGCGATCCTGCCTATGAGGGGAAGAACTACCAGCTTCGCTGGGGCAGCGCCGGCGGCACTGATCTTTTCTTGCTGGACGGTCCGCGCTGAGTTTGTTTCGTACTTATGGAACTCAAACTCAAGCGGCGCTGTTCTGACGATCTCCCCTTCCTGCCTCCGCCTTATGAGACTCACGCGTACCGTTCCGTCTCCGACGAGGGTAAAGAGTCTCCATCGTGGATCCGAACGGAAACGTTACCTGGGGACCGTTCGCCAGGGGGTTAAGGGCATCTCCAGCCGTTCGGCCCCCTCACGGCGACTAAATTGAGCATTCTGGAGGCGTGCCGGTGCTAGTTCGGCTTCTGGGGGCGAGCTAGCCTTCCAGTCACGCACCCACGCTGTAACGCCCCGGATTCGTTGCGCCAGGTGTCTTCCAGTTATTCGCCGTGGTTGTCATGTCATTTGCTTGCGTGTTGCATTTTGCCATGTCATCATGTGCATCTCATTTTGCATACGTGTTCATCTCATGCATCCAAACATTTTCCGCATTGTCCGTTTTGCAATCCGGCACTCCTATGTTCCCCGGCGTTTCCCTTTTGCCTCTTTTCGTGTGCGGGTGTTAAACTTTCTCGGAATGGCCCGAGGTTTGCCAAGCGTCCTTGCTATACCACCGGTAGACCGCCTGTCAAGTTTCGTGCCATTTGGAGTTCGTTTAGTACTCCAACGGTTAACCGGGTAACCGCAAAGCCCTCTTTTGTTGCAGCCCAACACCCCTTCCAAAGTGGCCCAAAACCCATCTAGCTCCCCTCCATACTCTCGGTCATTCGATCACGATCGCGTGGCCGAAAACCGCTCCTCATTTGGACTCTCCTAACTCCCTCTACCTATAAATATGTGTCCCTCCCGGATTTTTCGCGCAGTCCAACCCTAGCCCCGCTCCTCTCTGCGCCGCCGGACATGTCCGCCCGGTCGTCGGACACGTCCACCGCCGCCATCCACCTCACCCCGGCCAATGGGGCGCC